CGGAGAGGAGCAGCGCGAGGTGCTCAGGGTCGGCTTGGGCATGGGTGCGATGGAGGTCCTCATCGGCGAAGAGCAAAGTAGCACCACTGCGATGGAGCTCATCACCTATTTGATAGAATGCCTCGAAGGGGTAACCTTACCAGGATAAAGATGATGTGGTGATTCTATGCGAGGCAAAGCAAGCAACTAAACAAACTCTTATGAAAACCAGACCAAGGATAGCAGCCCAACCAAATAACCCATGTTGGCTTGCTAGGGACAGGTCTAGCCTAGCCAGGCTCCAATCCTAGCTAGGTTCCAACTAAGACAGGAAACCAAACAGGCCCATAGCTCACATCTATGCGGGATGGCAGGGTAAGCAAATTGGGGGACCAAAGAAAAAGTGCTTGTGTAATTAAAGTCCCACTCCGTGATCCATTGGGCAGGCAGCTGGGAATGACGATTCTTTCGAAGCCTGCGGGGGTATGTAATCATGCATGTGCATTGTCAAGTTTGGGATCATGTTCTCATAGATAGCCATACAGATATAGAAAAAGCACCAGTAGGGTCCCTTTGTAGAAAGGTGCCATCATACCTCTCCACTTTGCTTTTCCGCTGGCTTGCTGTGTGCGTGTGGAACACACACACACACACACACACATATATATATATATATATATATATATATATATAGAGAGAGAGAGAGAGAGAGAGAGAGAGAGAGAGAGAGAGAGACACATCCATCCATGCATGTCCTCCTCCATTTGCTATGATGCTGATATATATCTTGCAGATAATTATTAATCACGGGGGACTTTGAATCTGGATCATCCAATGAATAGATGCTGCTTGGCAAAACAATACACATCACAGATCTCCTTGTTGTCCACAGGGACAGTAAGCTAGCGTTCACAAAATGTTGCGACAATGGCAACGTCTCGTTTGAGTTTGGTTTGGGTGGATTGTGAACAATTTTCAGGCTAGGTTTTGGTTAAAGTGAAAATATAGCGGTGGAGGCTTTGTGTGGAGACTAGAAATTTTTTGGTGAGGGCTGTGGCATTATTGCATCGTGTCTCGCTCCCTTTCCTTTTATAAAAATTATTAGGCTATACAATGGAACATGTTTAGCAACTAATCGCGCTTTAAGGAGGTTGAAGAACACAAGCAAAAGCAAAGCTATCTCCTTCTCCTCAAACAAGCTCAGCTACCATCTGAGGAGATTATAGGCATGTGGCACAATCATGAATCAGTGCGGCACTCGTATTTTCCGTACATGTACGGATGCGGATTTGAATTGACTAATGTTCAGTTTGCTCTCATGATTTTCTTTCTAGTCGTCGCCACTCATCATGATCAGTCTCACGCATGCATTGCATGCAAAAGTTGAGGAGTAAAGGAAAGATCGAAAAGGGGGTGATTCCTGGGAAGTTAATTTAATAATATTGAAAAGAATTCGTATTTCCTGTTGAAAGATGACTAGATCTTTAAACTTCAATCTATTATTTTGTTAACTATTAGTGTTAAAAAATCCATGACATGGCCTAGATTTTTTTAAAACAAATGATATCATTAGATTTCTATGATGATCTAACTACTTATATTAAATCGAAGAGTTCATTCCTTTTACAATTAATAAAAGTAAATAATAAGTTAAAGAAACATAGCAATTTGAGATTTTGGTATGAGTTGAAAAAATGTTTAAATAGATATTAGTGAAGTCAAAATTTGACTAGAAGAAGTCTATTTTTGGCCATCCAACATTTAAATAAAATAAGTTAGTGTTTTATTACTATAAATAAAGTTAAAAATGTAGCCTCTTTCACTCTTAAGAGCTAAAAGCTATCAACATTGATCTTATAAATCCAGATTGTATGGTCTAGATCCATCAAAAGATATAGAAAAAATTAATAAATGGTGTGCATCCAATACAGATATAACAAGTATGAAAGGAAATGATAGTATATATAATTTAAACAATGTTACAACTAGATTTTGCCAATAGTAATAAAAAACATAGAAATCACATGAAAGTCTATGGGAGGAATTGATCATATGCATTCTTAGGTGCTACATGCCTCCAAAATCATCAAACACTTTTGTTCCCCATGCAGGGCAAGCTCTCTTCTATGCACCACTTATCCGTTGGTTGATTCATCTTTCACCGTATCATATATCCGGTGGGCATTGTCTTCTTGGAACTCCACACTGAGTCCTTGATGAAAGAGTATTCCAACCTCAAGGCAAATTGTGGTATTGCCAATCATATGTGCCCATGGATGTGCCAGTGACATGTAGGTCGAGGCTACGGGCCTCCTTAGTTGGGTTCTAAAACTTGCCCAACCAAAATAATGGCAAGCCAAAATCAAGGCTTGCCAACATCGTCAAGGCTTGCTAAAGTTAGGACAAAAAAAATATAGGAATGTAATTGGTTGAGTGCCATGACATAGTAGCAAGCATTTTTTCCCTTATGAGATTGAAGAAGTTTCTAGTGGTTTTGCCATGATTTTGGCCATAAAAATTGGTGTGGCAATTTTTTTTTGGTAATGAACCAATCAATAGCCAAAGTCTATAGGTTTGCCTTAATTTTGGTTAGGCAAATTTTAGAACCCAACCAAACAGGCCCTATATTCCAACCTCAAGGCGAGTCTACTTCGCGTACACACTTTGTTTGTATGTTTCTCCCTTGGCTTTCGGTAGTTTACTTCTTTCTATATTATAGTAGATCCAATCATAGATACTGTAGAAACTAGCAATCCGCCGCAGGGGAGAAGCGCTGGCCGGAGCTATAGGAGGAGGAAGAAGAGGAGGCGGGCGGGGAGCAGAGGAAGAGGCACGCCTGCCGTCGCGCCGTCCCGCAGCCAAGCAGAGGTGGCCGGAGCTGCATGCGGAGGAGGTGGGTAGGGAGCAGAGGAAGAAGGCCCCCACGCCGTGGGTCATGGAGGAGTGGTAGAAGAGGATAAGGATGAGAAGGATAAGGCTGCACGCATCACACAGGCACACAGCACCCAACCACAACAAAGCCTACAATGTCAAAGACATGGCGTGAGACCAGGCGCAACCTGGACTCCACTAGGGCGCGGCAAACGAGCGGCGGAGAGAGCAACACGTGTTAAATCCGATGGACAGAAAATCGAGTGACCAAGCTCCGTAAAACACCCGAGCGCTGGTTAGTTTTACCGTAAAAAAAAGCTTAAGCTTCGAGAACGTGGAGATACACTCTCCTTAGCAGCCTATTCTGAGTCAGCATATACTAAGGGGGTGTTTGGGTCCGGTGACTAAAATTTAGGAGGTGTCACGTGTGGATGTCGTATGGGGTGTCGCATAGGGTGTTCGGATACTAATAAAAAAAACAAATTACAGAATCCGTCAGTACTCCACGAGAAGAATTTATTAAGCCTAATTAATCAGTCATTAACATATGTTTACTGTAACACCACATTGTTAAATCATGGACTAATTAGGCTTAAAATATTCGTCTCGCAAATTAGTCGCAAACTGTGCAATTAGTTTCGTAATTAGTCTATATTTAATACTCCATGCATATGTTAAATATCCGATGGGACAGCGACTAAAATTTAATAGGAGAAACCAAACACCCTAGGTCTTTGAAATTTTGAACTGATTGTACGTATGATATAATAAGTTCGGAGAAGACCATCCAGAGCTAGCCTACATCACAGAAAGTTGACCCAAACGTTCTGTCTTCTATCTGCCTTTTTCCATCCCCTTGGTTTACTACATCTTTTTCAGGTATGGTCACTCTCTCGATAGACCTGTCAACAAAGCATCTAGAAGCAGTTGAAGAGTGTTTAATTTGCTAAGCCCAGTACTCCCTGTCGAAGAGTAAACCTTACTATAGAGTTTGTGCACGATTTGTGTACACGTCATAATCAAGAATATATTCGTCGCCATTTTCAGTTACATATATCAAAGCCAATAATCGTTTTAGAATGGTTAAATGATACTTTTACTCTAGTTGTTGAATGCAAGTTACTCAAGATATCTGGGAGATCGATTAAGATTTGTGCGTAATATATAGTTAGGTGTCCACAAAGGTGCAACTAACTAATTTCAGTACTAAATTCTTCTTGGAAAAGGAAGAGATAAATTATAACAGAGATATATAGGAATTATACATTATTTTCTTGAAATACACACGAAACTGCTCACTTATATACTCACCCCTAAGAACATATGTTTTCACACTCTACTCCTATTAGCTTAAGTTAATATTGAAAATGATGAAGTTAGCACAAGTGGCTTCGTGTCGCTAGCCAGGTCGCCTACCACATAAAAGATTGTGACATTACTTATAATTTTAAAAATAAACCAATCAAGAAAGACACAAGCACATATATTAGTATATTAATTTTGTAGCTTAATATGAGCCTTTTGGTATCGACGGACGAGCTAGTTGAGCCCCAATGTACTACTCCCTCCATCCAAAAACAAATTGATTATTAAATATAGTCTCTAAGTTAATTATAAAATATATTTTCGTAGTAAGCCTAGCCTAGTCGGAGACACAAATGTTAATAATTTTTACTATAAATTTACTTAAAGTTAAGCTAATTTGATTGATACACAAATCCTATAGTTGTACCTTTTTTATTTACAGAGGAAGTACTATACAGATACAATACTCCATGTGCATGGCCAGGATTACGCAGCTTTCGGATGCTTCCACATCCGCGTCATCAGAGACCGACCACACCGGTGACTGGTGGTGTACCTTACCTACGCAGAAAGCAAAGCGTTCGAGCCAGGCAGGCCTGGTTTTTATTCAACGACAAGCTCAGCGTCAGCGGCGGCGAGGCCACAAAAGGCATGACCACCTATCACGGCACCACCTCTCTAAAGCATCTCACTCCCTGCCCTCTCTAGCTATTTTTCCATCACGGCAACCACAAACACGCCCTTCACACGACGCAAAAGGGCACACACTTCTTTCTTCTACACACACACACACCTCAAGCTCACATACACTCCCATCTCCCCCTCTCTAGACTCTATAGAGAGAGATGGGGTCCTCTCTCCCCCCGTCGTCTGTCGCCGTGCTCACCACCGCAGCCCACGAGCACCGGCACCACCCGTGCTCTCCCGACGACGACTTCGAGTTCACGCCTCTCCTCCTCAGGCCGCGGCGCCGGCGCATCAACGCGCGCACTACCGAGCGTCCAAGAACCGTCGTCGTCCAGGTCGCGGCCACTACGGTCGTCGCCGAGCCGCAGCCTCCCCAGCGCGCGCGCCGCGGAGCGCCAAGCATCGCGGCGGCGGCGACACCGGCGCCACCAAGGAAGCCGCAGCAGGTGCGGTGGCACGACATGGCGTTCGGGTCCGTGCGCGTGCCGGCGGCCATGGACATGGGCGAGATCAGGAGGCGCCTGCGGCTGAGGGCGCGGCAGCAGGCTCTGGCTGGCGGCGCCGGGAACGAGCAGCCGTCCCCCGCCGCCGCGGGGTGGGCGCCGTGGAGGCTTATACGGTCGCTGAGCTGCAAGGGCGTCGAGGCCGTCGCGGCTGCCGCGGCGCCTGTCAGGCTGGTGTAGGTATGTACAGTCTGATGAGCCTACAGAGCGAGGTGGATGGCCGGTGTTGGTTATCGATAGATCGAGGCTGGTGTGGCCCGTGAAGGCCGGTGAGCCGGCGAGTGCACGGTGGCGCGTCACGGGAGTGGCGCCAAGGTTGGTGGAAGTTGAAAGGCACAAGAGCAAAGCGCGGTGCCCATTAATGTTCAGTTTCAATTTTCGTCGTGTTTCTTCTTGTTTTAATAAATAAACCTTTTCTCCTCTTTCTTTCTGCTTGCTGTTCAATGTTCGGATTCGTTGGCTAAGCCTAAGTATAGTGTAGCCGTTGGACTGTATGTACAAGGAGTAATCTACTGCTGCAATAGGCAGGAGTCTTGGAGATCATGGTCAAGGTGCCTGATATCAAGATAATTTATTATGAATAAAATTATTCTATTATTACGTCGAGTTCAAATGTTTACTACTCAAAACAGTATCATGTCTAGTCACATGTACGAAATACTTTTTTTATAAGATAAGACTAAAGTTACACTCGAGTACCCTCTCGTTGCAAATTATAGGTCATCTCGACATTTTTTAAAAGTTAAAGCATTTGTTTATATAATAAAATAATAAATTTATGATATCAAATAAGTATCATTAAATTCTTTATTAATTATATTTTTAGAGTATAGCTATTTGATGTCATAAATTTTTGTAATTTTTCTTTATAATTTTAGTTAAATTTGGGATGCTTTAATTCTCAAAAAAGTTATAATAACTTATAATTTGAGACAGAGAGAGTAATCATTGGGACTCCAGGAGCGTGTTCGGATGCCTGCATCCTACCAGCCACCGTTGTTAGCCGATAAACTATAGGAGAAGGATGCTTGGTTGGCCGGCTCAACTGTCATGTGCTACACCCACCCATGCAAGAATACAGCTGCATCCGGGCTTTGTTCATGTGGCCATTTTGATCGTTGCTCCCGCGCCAGGCCTTGCCGATATAGAATGAGCTAGGGGGGCCTACACGTCAGTCACACATGATAGTCAAGTTGCATCCACTCATATATAGATAACCAAATAACATCTTTTTTTTTTTCATCCGCTCATGCAATCTCACCAAACATTGTGTCTTTCTCTGTTTCACTCATCTCGTGTCCCCTTATCCGGATATACGATGCAACCTCTATGCACAAACAAAACACACTAACAAATGCGTGTTGCAACAGAAACATACACCTTATTGCACCGTCACCTGAACGACTTGCAGCTCGAAGATTTATATAACGGTCATACAGTCTGTTACAATACGTATTGGAATTAGATCTGTTCCGTTGTTGGATGCACAAACGTGGATGATTCTAATTCGTATGAGCACGCGGGTTATGAGTCTAGGTCATAGACGAGACAACGAGAAGCGTGAGGACATTGTAGAAAGTAAAAAAGACGCACGAAAAAATCACTTTACTCTTTAATATAAGGTGTCAATATAGATATAGATTACATATAGATATAGATATAGAATATAGATTAATCAAGTATCAAGGGAACGAGATATCCAAATCATCTAACATTGTGTAACATGCATGGTTACAATTTTTGTTGACATTGGAGCATTGTTGTGTTTTCTTTATTTTGTATAAAAAGGAGTATGAGCACGGTGGCTAAGCACGAGGCATCGAGGATTTGTATGTACGTACGCAGGCGTGCCGCGCGTGCGTCTCGAGGAAAAGACACAGCCTACAGTAACTTTAATTAAGTTTTTAACGAAGCTGAGAAAAGGGCCTGTCTAATCCACAGAGTGAACCCCAGCGGCCCAGCCTCTACCACCTAGCATTTGGTAAATTAATTAACAAATTTGGGGTAAGGTTCTCATCAAATCTAATTAAAGCCTCTACCACCCAGCGGCCCAGCCTCTACCACCTAGCATTTGATTTACAATATTTTTTGGCTTAAAATTACCTCTTGTCCTACTCTGGCCTTGTTTTGCTGCATTCATTTTAACTTCAATCCACATGTATTAAGATAGATTGGAATAGAGAATTAATTGGAATAGAGAATTAACTAGTTTACACCTTAATCCACTCCAACATATGTGAATTGAGTTGGATACGAGTATAGCAAAAAAAAAAGCCCTCAATGATATCACATTTGGTAATTCTGAATGTTGCACAACTATTCTGAGACTAATTCTACAAATAAATACCTCCTAAATTGTAGTTTTATCCCGAGTCAAACTTCTCTCTGACTTTCACTAAGTTTATAGAAAAAATACACTAGTACCAAAGCATTTTCATTAAATTTCCAACAAAATATGTATGTATTGATGGCAAATTATTGGAACTTGTAGATACGTTAATATGTTTTCTAAAAAACTTTGTCAAAAAGTTATATAGAAGTTTGACTTTTAATAAGGCTAAACTGAACTATAATTTAGAACGGAGAACCGCATAATATGATTTCGTATTTTGCTAATGCATAAACGCTCAGTTATCATGCATGTATCGGTACTGTGGCATTTAGCAGTAATATATGGATATGGCTCTGTGACAACATTTCAGGTTATTTTTTTCTGTGGGTTTAGATGTCTCTATTTCCTTTTCCTTTTGTCGAGGGTAGAGGTGGATATACATATGAATGCGCATCAACATCTCGAGCTTAGTCGACAGGCGTAGAGAAGGCTATCAATTATTGAGAAGATTCGAGCTAACAGTTTAAGTGACAGCCCTCTAGGCTCTAGATGAGCTTCATGGTAGCAAAAAACAGGGATGTGATTAAAGAAAAAAGAAAATGCAAAAGGTTAATGGATGGAAAGAGTGAAGAAAAATGGTAGAGGAAAGTGGAACCAAAGCTGCGGTGAAAGTGAAACCAATCGATTGTTTTATCTACACCAGCATGTTTTCAAAACCTTTGGTGCTACCATACCCTACTCGATTCTGTCCTCCTTAGCAAGCAAAGTGATACAGGTGTCACATCTCCTTTCAATTTTGAGATATGTTATAATTCTTGCTTGAAAGTCATAGAGAGTTTCAACAGTTGAATTTTTTTACCGCATATTTGCATTGAAATTTATGCTTCGTGGATGTTGAGTATATGATATTAAACACAATCAAGTGTTCCAAGTATTTTTACATTTTGAGTCACATGTATCTTACATTGGAATGACGAGTGCTCATCATGTAAGTTACTACTAATCTCTAGAATAATGCTTTTAGAATTACTAAAAACCTAAAGTACTTGAAACGGCTGGACCAGTTGCCTCTACCTGTTCTTCTCTTGAAATCAATGAACGTTGCTATAAATCAATTTGTATAGGCGGCTGAAAACACAAGCCGTCCCTATAAAATAATTTCTAGGAGCTGCTTGAAATACAGTTTCCCATAAAATCGTTTTCTACAAATCACAACTCAAGATAAAAAAACATCAATTTTTCTTAATCTAGGAACCCACCACTAAGTAAGGTTTCATCGTCGCGTGTCACAAGGCATATAATTTCTTGCGCACATGCGTCCAATGGGATTCAAACCGGCAATCTCAAGTCTCGTGCATACCCCACTAACCACTCTTCCTTAAAGTCACTGTTAACTAAAATGTAGATGCATTTACTTTTGTAATCACTTGACTAGATTTTGAAATAAGTATTTAATTTGGGGCCCTCAACAAATTTAAACAAAACTGGTTTGAACTCGAAAGTTGTAGATATCATCAAGTACTACAACTTTGGTTTTTTCATTTCTTCATCTGAAATTGTTTGAAAATTTTGAATTTCAAAATGTGAGAAATTCGAATAGAATTTTCCTTGGATAAAATGATTTCAGATGAAAAAGTTTTCAACTACAAATTTGTATAGCTCTTTGAGGTCTATAACTTTGGTTTGGATGTTTCTCCATCTGAGGTCGTTCAAAAATTTGAATTCCAAAATGTGAAGAGTTCAAATTCAATTTTGGGGCCACATATTATTTCAAAAGAAAAAGCTACCAACTGCAATATTTTGTGGCCTTGTTCGTTTTTCTGAAATTTGGCTTATTCTGATGCTGATTTGTTGTGGGAGAAAAATATTGTTCCTTCGCTGAAAAGTACTACTGATGTAGTGCTTAAGAACAGGGCCTATATCTTTTCAACATCTATAACTTTAGTTGGTGTCATATGTTCATCCAAGGTCATTGAATTAAAGAATTTGCAGGATCTAAATGATTTTCAAGTGAAAATACCGTCAACTAAAAAGTTATAGATCCCTTCAAGATATAAAACTTTGATTCAAATTAAAGTTTGTATTCATTTGATTTTATTTGAAAAACTTATGAATTTTATTGTGTTGTACTTATTTTTAGAGACAGTCCAAATTACAAAAAATACCTCCAATGCTAAAAAACCCATTTTAGAGGCAGATTTTGAATAAGGGGTCACCGCCAAAAATACCTCCAATGCTAAAAATCATTTTTATTGTAGTAAATGATAGTGTAATAAAAATACGGTGCTAGATCCTATCTAGTAACACTGTTTTTGTATTAGCATAAAATGAGATATAACCTGAACCACCATATATGTCAGATCCGTAGTTACAAAATTTTTTGCAACTCTTGAAACATACATGTGCATAGGTACCCACTTTTTCCTTATTTTTTTTTCTTCGGGAGAACCCTCCCATGAGTCTGTAGGTTTTTAAAAGTATTTGCATTTATCTAAATAATTGGAGTAGAAACTAGAAACATGTTAACACATCACCTACCACTATAGAAATGATTTTTAGAGACATTACTATTTTTTTAAGGCTGCTCCATAAAACCGCCTCTAAAGGTGCTTCTAAGGGGCAAGCTAACTGACCATCTATAGAAATCGATTTTAGAGTCGGTTAGCCTTGCCAAACGTCTCTAAAAATGACCTTTATTTCTAGAGATGATAAGACTAGCCATGTTTAGAAATCAATTTTCAGAAGTAGTGGTGTGAAAGAGAGTTGAAAATTTATCTCGGGCCTAGCGTGCAAAGGAAAAAAATCGATTTGCATGGCCCACCGGTACTCTTCCATCCTTATCCCTGTT